ATGGCAATAACGTTTGAAACTAGAAGGAAAACATTGAGGCAACTCAAGTGGCATGCGAGTTTGATATTATTCGAACTGCTCCTGAGAAGTCACATTTTGGTAATAAGTAAAATTTGCTAAATCCGTTTTTTTAGATACGTTATATTTTAATTATTTGTGTTTGTCATTATTATAATTCAAAAGAATTAATAATAAATTGTCAACGACTTAATAAAATTAAAAAAAATTTACTAAAAAAAATTATAAAAAATGTTTAAAATTTCCAATTTGTAAATTATTATTGTTATTATGCACATCAGTGTAATAATTACAAGATACCGATTTTCAAAATATTTATTAACTATTTACTATACACTGAATCTCTACGTTAACAGTTGAATCAGTTTTCAACTCTTATTACATCTGATGTTCGTAGTATCTTGAGTACAGGGTGAGATATGTAAGAGTACAAATTAAACCGTCAATATACCTGTACTGTTACACAAAGACATTTTTCTAAGCTAGGTCACTTTAACATTTTTTTTTCACTATTGTTAGTGGAATGGAAACCAATAATCGCTATTGTTTTACTAAATTATATTACATCGTTTGCTCGCAAGTAGTCTTTCGTGGATTTAAACCAGCCATCCAGACTGGACTACAACACAGTAATAACGCATCCAAAGAAAATTAGTGGTAAAAACAAGAAAGTGTAAATTAAAGATTCCCTTTAGACGGTGACCGACATATGCTCTGTTGCGTGGACGATTGTCGAATTAATATTACATTAGTGTGGGCTGGTTATACAATTATAATAAACAATAGAACACATGTAGTTTTATCCGTCAGATGTTGTGCTACCCTATATAATAATTATTTGGCAACGTTAAATAGTCTTAATGGAACACTTGTTCACTTATGTATTATATTGTTTTTGGATTGTGATTTTTTTATTTTAGTGATCTGCAAACATTATGTCCTAGTGTAGACTATAAAATAAAAAGAGATTATTTTTGAACTCTTAATTATTTTACCAATCTTTAAACAGTCAACATTGATCAACCTAGTTAAAACTTTTCATATATTTTTACATTTGAGAGCAAAATATCATTGCTTAAAATCTAAAACAGTAAATTAATCGCTTTTTGTTAAAAGGGCATATGTTACATTTTTTGTTAATTTTTTTTTGCAACTTTCAACTAGTATCAACTTGAATTAAATATTTTTACAGCATCGAAATTTGGCATAAATATCGAATACCAATGCACGCCATAATACACATAAAAAAAATTATTTACGAAGTTACAACATTTTGAAAGTTATGCAGTTTTTTATCATTTCCCAAAAGTTCACCTGTTAAAACATGAGCCCTTTTAACAAAAAGCGATTCAAATGTGTCTTCTTAGAACATGCACTCAGGTTAAGCTCAGAAATCGTTCAGTTTATTTATAGAAAGTATATATAAATATACCGTCAATATAATAATTGTTATTATTTGCTAAACAGTCGAACTAAGGAAAAATCATATATTATGCTGCGTTATATGAACGTCCATTGCAATCTGTAAGTGTTGTACTAAATGTTTAGTGGCTTCTTATGCATCGTTTAATGATGATCGGTGATGGGTCCATTTGATTTTAATTAACTATTAAATTTGATAATTTTTTGTGCAGTCTAGTATTTCCCGTGTATGTACTTTAATGCAAAGCTGAGAAGTAACTGGTTTAACAATAATATGTGATTTTTGTTTGTGTCTGTTCACATTTTACTCTGTTGAGCCAAGTAAACCGACAACATTTTCTGAGACCAAAGAGACAACGCACATGTTTAGGTATACAGTTTTAACAAAATCATTTAAAAAATACATTTTTTAACTAGATTACTTCAAAATGCTAAACCTTTGTATTTTAACTTTGATTTGATTTTTGCACAACTTAAATATGCGGAGTTGTTTTCAAATTCTTCAGTTTTTTTTATCTTTTGATTTAAAAATGTATTCTGTCAAAAATGTGTTATATTTATTTATTAAAAAAAAAAAATTAACATACAATCAAGACAATATTATAATCAGAGTTGGGCATTATTTAGATAATTTTTTATCAAAATAATTATTTAAATAATTTTTTTATTCGAATAATATTTTTATACGAATAACGTATTCGATTGACCGTCGAATAATTTGTTTTAATCAAATAAATCATCTTAGAGTATGTCGACTAGAGTTATTGAGTTACTACTCGTTAGTCGAATAAAAAATGCCCAACTTTGATTATAATATGCCTTGTTAAACATATCACATTAGTTTACCATTGATTTATAAATTAACTATAATGATTATTATTATTAACTATAGTACCATCACTATATCCATGTAATTATGTATTCGTAACTAACGAAGTCATGCATGTGACTTTTTAGCACAACGGAAAATTTGTAGTTTTTTTTTTAACAATAATAACTGCAATGTATCTAGACAAAAGTAAAATTAATTTGTACTAAAAACAAACGTGAATGGACACGAGATGGTTGTTTTACGGTAGTTAAATATTGAATTAATAATGTAAATATTAATATGCAACTATATGTTTTGTACAATTGTTTTTAGATTACTGAGCACTTATATTTTATACGTGCAAGTGCTCAGTGTTACAATTAAAGCACAAAACCAAAACTGCATTCTACTTTGAGAATCCGATTTCAGGAAGCTTAAGTATAAAGCGTTTTAAAAAATTGTCTTGTTTTTCTACGAAAAATGTATGACTGGAATATCTAAAGTTTTAATGCATTTACTAACTTCGGAGCAAACTCTGTAACACTTCTGTAGAGTTACCATGTATACTATATTATACAGAACTGACATTTTATCAATTTTATACTTTTAAGATCCCCTCTCAAAAAAAAGTTTATTTTCGAAAACTCAAAAAAAATGTATATGTATTTTCCTGAAATTCAGTTAGTATAATATTAGTGGCTTTATTATAAATTTCTGTACCATATTACATCCCAATACATTATTTGATGTAATATATTAAAAAGATTAGCCAAAACCTGTTTTATTAGATAAATTTAATGCTTAAACGATAAACATTAGAATTTTAGTAAATGCTTTTAAATTAATAATAAGATTATTAAAGTTAGAAGTTATGACATAATAAACCTAATTGAAACCAGTTTTGATTGAACCCAATTATTATGCCAATTAGTAGGGCACCAATCCAATTTCTAAAATGTATTTCTCTAAATAGTGTTTGAATAACTATTTTAATTTGTACAACAAATTAAAATAGACAGGAACCGTGGAGTACAAAATGTGTAATTAAACATAATTACCTGAAAAAGACCGTCGAATAATTGTTATCGTATTATGATATTTAAATAAAAAATGAAAAATCTCTTTTTCTAATTTATTAGATGATTTTATTATTAATGTCATGAAAAGAAGTATTCCTGAGTATTAGTGGGGTATGAATATATATATTTTTTAATTATTTTTAAAGAAAACTCTTAAAAGACATTTACGTTTGAATACTTTTCAATTCCAACCCCCCCCCCCCCCAAAGAAAAAAGTGAAATGGAGGAAACCCTTATTTCATGGAAAAAGGCTTATGGTATTTTTTGGGTTTTGACTGTACATATATATATATATATATATTATAGGAATATCTTGGGAATTATATTTCGATAAAGTACTAACGATAAACGTTGACCAACAAAAAAATGTCACAAACCCTTTCCAATAGGAGTGGAAACTCTTTTTTTTAGTAAAGTTATAAGACGTAAACTATGAAAATTAGACTAAAGTCGATCGTGAGTGCAGAGTGGGGCCATTCAATTTACGGTATTCTTAAAAACCGCTGTGTTTTTTTATTATGAAAAACCCTTCCAAAAAGAGGGTAAAATATATTTTAACCTATGTCTAAGTTGCTGCATGTGAGTGATACAACAGTCAATAGGTAACCGAAAAATACTATCATTATATTGATAATTAAGATGTATGGGTAACAACGACCGGAAATTTTGTATGGTCAGACGATCAAACCCAATCGTATCATCCCTAATACTCAAAATATAATTATATATATAAAAATAGTCATTGGAAAGTAATTTCCTCAAAACCAAACACATATATTAATTAAAAATTATCGATTTCTATAACAACATAACAAAAAAAAATATTTTGTCAAGGTCTAAACGTTTAAAGTAAGTTTGACTGATAATAGCAAAAACAGACATAACTTTTACTATTATGGAGTTGGATAGCCGTCATTTTGTTTAACACGTGCCGACAGTGCAGTCAATAGCATAAACTGTATACATTTCAGATAACTACGTTTAAAAAATCGTTTAACCCAATCACGATCAAATTTTAACCCCAGTTCATTTAGATAACCGAACAAACTATACTAGTAAAATGTTTGGGGAAAATTTCATTGTGTCTATCGAAGGTCAAGTCATTTGACATTAATGTCAAGTTGTTCGGTTTTCTGTTAAAATACATAATACGATCTTACAACCATCCCGATTTTGGAAAAAAAATAATACCAGAAAAACGGAGCTTCCTCATTTGCGAAGCAAAACTATTAATAATTGATATGTGATTTTTGTTGGCAATGGGATGCGTATCGAACTCGCGCTTCGCTGCACGTGGTCCACCGTACGGTCGGAAGACTGCGATAACACGTTGCGGCTAACATTATGTTGTTGCAGGCTCGTTCTGAGTACATTTGGAAAATGCATTATTCATATTTGGAGGGAAATGCTGCCGTAATTGCGTTTAGATATTTAACGAAACGGGCCGTCCACAGTAGAAACGGGCTCGTTAAAATTAATGTAATAATTGTTTATCATATTATCCGTGTAAGCGGTCAAAATGGACCAGGAAAAGCATGTGCGCATATCGTACATACATATACGCGTGTAAGGCGGTTTTGCACGGTTTAGGGCGTTTGTAGGTGAACGCTTACGGGCCGGAACGCGGATAAAAACATCCGACGGCCGCGGCTGTTCGTCATACCGCACGCTTTGATCCGACCGCAAACAATGGTGAGCCCGTCGAACGCCGTTTACCTCGTGGCCGCGCTGGCCCTTTGCTGCTGTTCCTGTTCATGTTGGTCTCCGGTGCCGGCGGACACGGCCATCGCCGAGGGACCGAGTTTGGCTGACATATCGCGGATCATCGAGTCCCATGACTTGTCCAATATATTCGGCTACGGAAACGCCGTCGACGGCGGCAACGCGTTCGAAGGTAAGCCCACCGGTGTTTTATCATTTTTTGGGGGTTGACATATACCTATGCACACGTGTGTATAATAAACTTCATAATAGTAGTCAGCGATCGATTACAAAGTATTATATTGTTGTGTGGCAGGTCGCGGCAAGAAGCCCAAACCGGGTCACATGATGATGATGATGGGTGGCACGGCGGCCATGAGCATGATGGTAATGAAAGCCAGCGCCGCCATCAAGCTGTTCATCATCCACTCGTTTCTGGCCACCAAACTGGGCTTGATCATATTCGCGTACTTGCTGTTGTGCAAGCTGATGGAGATGAAGCAACCGCCTCCCAAGAAGATGATCAAGTGGTCCCCGCCGCCGCCCTCGCACGACGAACACCCCATGCCCATGATGCATCACCCGGTCCAAGAGCCGTCGTACGAACCGCACCAAGAACAACAACCGCCGCAGCCGGCCGACCAGTACGGTCCTCCCCAACAGTTCATGCCGTCCAGTATGGGTGACTACGGTGGCGGCGGCGGCGGCGGCGGCGGTGGTGGAGACATGCAAGGCCATTACTCGCACATCAGCCCGGTAACGTACAGGCCCATGATCAACCGGAATCCGCCGGACAACAAGGCCGTGGGCCGGCGCAAATGAACGACAAACCGAAATGACGCAACTTAACTCGTTACTTTCCGCTCAAAGGCCTGACGCCGAGGTAAGATTCTCTACACGCTGATGAACTCGAGAAACGGTCTAAAAACGTCCATCACGTTAGGTTAGGTTATTCATTATTTATTATTTATTTAAATTTAACTCGGGACTGCGCGACTTGTAAAAAACTATGCGCTTCTCGCGAAACTATTTATTTAATTATATTATTATATTAATATTTATTAAATATAAATATTGTTATTATACAAAACTAACTTCTTATATTTTCTTTGTACCACGTACAGTTTGGCATTACCTAAACAACCTCGCATCATCGAGTATATGACCGCGTTAGTTCATATCATAACAATATGATGAGATATCTAAACTGTAGTTGTCGCAAAGTTTTTCTAAAAATTATGATTAGGTGTAAAATAATATGTTGTTTATAAAAAAAAAATATTATAATCTATATTTTTGGTTCAAATCGTCCGTACATTGTTGTGTAGTACACTTAATAGTATTCCACATAGCAGATACTGTACATTAAATATGTTTTTAAAATCTAATGTCTGTTTTAATATTTTTTTTTTTTTTGACAATACTTAAGAATAAAATAAATATATCTATTATTTTTCTATTTCACGAGCCATGTACTTTGTAAAGACCGAAGACTTTTACAAAAATAAAACGTTAATTCTAAGTCTCGCCTCACGCCGAAATCCGTCAACAGATAAAAATAATTATACTGCGTGTGGCGTATAGGGGGTAAGGCGATACGGCATAGCACTAACTATATTCGGTATATATTACTAATCTACGATTTTTTTTTCGATAATATGTATATAGCACTAATGAAATAAGTTAACTTAAAATCAATAAATAAATAACGTGGCGTTTATAAATTAACGAAGAATACTGGACACCGGATGCACACTTAGGGGGATGCTGACTTGGCGTCCACGTGAAACGACGTAGTAGGACTTGGGTTCATCGTGCGATGATTCGTGCAAAGCTACCTATAACAGAAACAAAAAACATTAATTATTCAATGCAGGCTCTGTTAACCGCGTGTGATAATGCTGCGGAACGTTTTAGTTGTCTGTTTGTATTAGATTCCGAGTAGGTATTCACAGACCTTTTCATTTATACTGGGTGATTTATTTTATCATTGGCCACTCAATATCTCACTGGGTTTAATTGATTTTTTTTTCATATAATGTGACCTCAACTTTCTACAAATTTGTATACATTATATAAAAACACCATGAAAAAAAAAATTATTAAGCCCAGTGAGATACTATGTGGCCCACGATAAAAAAATCACCCTGCATATGCAGGATAATGCATTTAACGTATGCCACTCATAAAATAATTGTAATTGGTAGTTTTTTTTTTTTAATGATTACTTATGGTACTTTACGATATTGTAAAAATACCAAATATTTACTTTTTTTAGTATTTTTCACAGCGCAATCAATTTTTATAACTTAAAAATGATAACTTATATTATATTTAAATAACTTTTTAAGCCTTTGTGCCCAGCAAGTTACTGGTAACCAGTCAAAATGTTCAGCAAATTATTCTTACTTAAATAAGTTAATTAAATACATACGATACCATTTGAGTTTCAAAAGTTAATGCCGCTCTGGGAAGTACTATAAAAAGTAAATATTTGGTAATTAAAAAAACTAAAAAAATTGTACCTAACCTAACCAATATTTTTTGTCGAGAAAACGAGTGTCTCGCGTTAAACGGATCACCCGGTATGCATGTTAAAACTTAAAATATTATTATTATGTGTCTGACACTCTTAATTGCTACACTGACCGTTTAATAAACCAAGTTTAAACACCTAGATCGGCGTTTCGGTTAATAGTTTGCTACGTAATTAGATGTACTAGCTAACGAGTTTAAACTCATGTTTTTTTTTTAAGTAACGCTTTTTTATATTATATTTAATTTTGTTTTCAATTCATTTAGGAATACGTTGGGTGAAATTAAACTTGGGCTTATATTCCTCGTTAGTCACGACCTAATAGTGATAGACCATAAAACGTTTTATTCTTTATTTTCATAAAATTGAAAGTTCGTGATAAAACGTTTATGATCCACGCCTGTCAGTCGTTTATTATTATTTATACTATGCTAAAACGAGCATAATATCGTCGTGTAATCTGATAATTCTCTGGGCAAACGTCGATGCGTCACTTTTGTTTTATTTGTTCTTATACCCCTCATCTTAACGTATAATATATTAACAAAAAATACATTTTCGGTTCTAAATTGCTCGCCACAATAAATAAACAGTGTATAATATTTAAAGAAATATTCAAGCAATTGTTTTAGTAGCAATCTATTTCAAAGTTTCACTAGAGTGACATATCGACTTTTGCCATCGTTTGCAAGCGGTTTTTAGACTATAAACCATGTGTGCGACTTTCTACATTGATACACTGTTAAGTGTAAACCGTAACATTAGTAGGTTTGTCGTGGAATGTGCGTTTTACCGTACTCACTCGTCTATTGGGCTTGTCCTCCGTACGCGAGACTGTGGGCGGCTTCAGACGAAGAACGACCCCATCCGGCGCTGTAAGAATCACCGTGAGATTCGACGGCACCGTGGGAGTGGTGGGGGTGGGCTACCACTTCGTAGGTGACGTGTTTCTGTTGGCTGAACAACTTTTTCAGACCGATGATTGTGGCCAACAGGAAGGCGAGTTTGCTGACCAACAAGGCTTTGCCGACGAGCAGGGCCAGAGCTTTGAAAGCTAAGATTTTCAGCATGCCCAACTTCATCATGACGGCGGCCATCATGGGTCCCATGTTCTTGTTCTTGCCACGACCTGAGGACACGGAAACGTTGTCAAGGTCGCTGTTTAAGTATGCCGTTGTACACTGTAAATACTATATTGTTGACACGGCGTGCGACGGTAGCAGAGAGGGCCTCGGGTCAAGTTCGAGGCGTCGAATCGACCCACATACAAACGGTCCGTAGCGGTTTTTCTTAACGATGCCCCCCCCCGGTCCCCCCGTCACCCAGCCGGTCAAAACAAACTCCACAATACAACAACAAAACGTTACAACGAACGTGTACGAACGTTATACAACTGTGCGAGTGTAATGGTAATCGAAGACCGTGTACATAATGGAAAAATCCAATTTCTAAACGGCTATAAGTCTTTTTTGCCGAATTCCAAAAAAAAATAATAATAATAACAATTATGAACACAATCAAGTTAGGTACTCCCCCGGTGTGTGTGTGTGTGTGTGTGTCCAGTCGACGAATCTTCTAAACTGTTCTTCATCTATTGTTGTCGGCCCCAAACGAAAACTAAACGTTAATAATTGGAAACGACGGACGCATTGTAACTACAATATGTCTAACCTAGTTGTGTTGTCGAATGACATATTATATCTGATGTGCGTGTGTGTGTGTGATGGTAATTGACGAGAAAGAATCGATACGAAGACGACGGTGTGCCGATCGCCCGTTGCCGTCACGTATGTAGTCTAGAATTCGGAATACTAGCCGTCAGCTCTGATATGCGAGTGTGAGTATATAATAATATGTATGTGAGAGTAGGTGTGTTTATATTGTGTGCACGGGTTTGCATTCCGAATCGAACGCGTACTACATATTGAAAGTAAGTAATCCGGCGCAATTCACAGCGTCAACCCCTTGTTGTTCATGATTACCCTGATGTCATACGTTGACCGACGCGCTTGTCAAACGGAAAACAAAACAATAAAATAAATATATAATACGTTTGTATTTTTTAATAGATATTATACAAATAATTACACTGTCCGACGTCTCACATCGGCTATTCGCCGGTTCGCAAAAAGTAGTCAAGCGACCGTGACTAATTTTTACGACAGTCGAACGTTACTGTATAGTGTATTCAATAATAATTACAATAATTGGTCGACAATAGTAATTTTAAATTATGACGTTGGCGCTTAGCTACTCAAACTGTTCAAATAATAATAACAATATTAAACGTAGGGTGTAAAATCTGTAATAAAATAAATGCTCATCACCGTAAAATTATATTCTAATATACTCATTTTTTTTTTTAAACCGAATTGAAAAATTCGAATCAAAGGAAAAAATCTAACGAATAGAGATCAATGAAAATAGTTAGGTATGAGGAAAAAAAATAATTTGAATTGATTTAATAGAAAATTCCGGGTAAATAGAAAAATTGAATTGTAGGAAATCTATATTTCAAGTAATTTATTGGGTAATAAGAAAATATACCGAATACAATTTTCAAATATAAGTATTCAACTATTCATCATTGCTCTACAAAAGTATTATTTTCAACGGATCAGTTCACTTACCAGTTTCCAATTCTCCGGTTTTGACGGACATGCCGAAGTTGAGGGTACCACCTTGTTCGGCGGCCGATACGACGAAATCGGCTTCGGGCAACAATTTCACCTTAAGAGACCTGGACTTGACGTACTTCCAAAGTTTGTCGGCCATGACTTCGCTAAAGACTGACTCGTCGGAGTAACCGCGGGCCGAGTCCACCTGGACGACCTCGACGGTCTGCTCGTCTTCCACTTGGGCGTTGTCCTTCTTGGCGATCTCGATGGTCTCGCCGAGTTCCAAGTTGTTCTTCTTCATCAGCCGGTTCATGTAGGTGACCAATTTGAGCATGACACAGCTGGACACGTCCTTGGTGGCGCACTTGGAGTTGAGCTTTTGGATGAGCTCGTCTTCGCGGATCACGAATGGCTTAAGCACCTCGTTGCCGTCGTTGGTGTTTTGCGACGACACCGGCGAACCGCACGAAAAGCCAGCCACCAACAACACTACAGCGAACACCGCGAACTTGTTCATTTTTCTTGATTTTTTTTATTTTTAGGAGAAAAAACGAAAAAAAAAATTTGTATATGTATTTAAAAAAAAAAAATAGGAAATGCGTACAAGAGGTAAAAAGTAAAACGCAACGGTCTAGGAACAGCACAGCACGTGGTTTTCCGCCGAGTTACCGATAAAATGAACCTATCTGATGGGCCGGACCCCCTTATATGCCATTTCACGTGAAACCGGTCTTTCACTCCGGCCGAGTTCGCATCTCCCGCGATTCCCTTTCTTTCGGACAAAATCTTTGTTCTCACCAAAAGTAAAGTAAGCTAGATATTGTATACATCACATATCATAATATTATACCTACGTCGCCCCGGCCTACAGAAATAATAATCCGAATTTCGCAGTTGGCCGTAGAAATGTTCGCGCGTGACCTTGTTACCACAACCGCGGCTGCAAATGTATCCGGTTATGTATAATCGCTCACGAGCCAATTGCATACCGACAGGTCTTAGACGTGTAGACCTGCAGGGTCCAGACTTAAGGGCGTGAGCGAGGCTAATGGGGACAGTTACACTGTGGGAAAACTACCTATCACGGTGGTTGCTGGGACCCTATCCGAGTGTAAGGTGTACCTAAGTAGTTGGTGGTACTGTGTGCTTGTAACCGTTATTATATTGATATACACCACAGCCGCCACCGATAGCACTTAATAGCTGTTATTTGCTATTAAACAAATAACCGCAGTCGTTAAACCCGAATTACCGGCATAATATTGTTATGTTTTTTTTGGTTATATATTTTTTTTAACGACGCGACGTCGACGAGTGGCTACCGCCGCTCCGAATGGTTTTTTTATTACACAACAATGAATAATTGATTGTTGGTCGCTACCGATCATCACATGTACTTAACTTTGTATCATAATCGAGTTAGCCACCGTGTTGAACAGTCTGTTTTAACGTCACGGACATAGTTTTTAAAAAAAAATATGAAAAACCCGTTCGTCTCACGTGTTCAACCACACATTGATTTGGTCTTTCTCCAAATTATCTTTTCATTATGAGTTATTTACATTAATTGGTTGATGAGGTTATTTTTTTACTGAATTAACTCCTTCTAGTTTTGCCATTATCCAAATCTTCAGAAACTTGAATTATATTGCACCAACGGTTAGTGAAAAAAAAACCAATGTTGAAGTTTTAAATATAACAATACAATTGATTGAATTGTTAACTAAATACAACTACCAAATCGTATGTTGTAAATATGATCAAGTACATAGAGGCTACTTCTAATAAACACATTTTATAATAAAACAAAAAAAAAGTATTTCATTAACATGGGTTTTAACTTTTAACCGAGCTATAACTGTCATTAATTAGTGCAAGTTTAAAAACGTTTAGAGCTCAATAAATGAATAAGTACCTTTTCCGTTTTACAAGAACCCGTTCTGCGGCACTCGATATTAATAACACATCATAGCTATTAGCAACTGGCGTTTGTTCATATGATCGAATGATGTATAAAGTCAAAATAAACAACTATCGCCAAACAAGTATTTGACAAACTGTTGGTATGATTGATGTGGCTGAATATATTACGATGACTTGCATTGTCATACAATACAGGTATAGTACACCACCGAGTCAATAGTGTAAAACATGATGTTTAGCGGAATTCATAAACGTTTTTAAACTATTTTCTAGATTTTTAAAAGTAAGTTAATGAATAAAGTTGGACAATTTACATTAAATGATGTCCAATGCATTTGAAAACTTGATTTATTAATTAATGATAACAATCCAATACATGGCTCTCTGAAAGACCCTAAATTACATGAAAAAAAGCTAATGGCTAATTTATATTTATAAATATAAATAAATAAATGTATATTAAATGTACTTTATTTATAAATAAATAAATTTATATTATAGCTTACAGCAACGAAATTGTGACAAAAAGGGACTTTAAACTTACACCGTATATATGATTACGGGCTTCTATCGAATACTTTTGTTGCGTTTTTCAAATATTAACATAAGTTGCTACGGTCGTATTATCAAAAAACAATTTATATTATAATAGGGCAAGTCTTATTTTAAACCGAGAAAAACTTTGAATATTATTTTATCTTATTATAAGTTTGACAAAAAATATTTCCAAGACAGTTATTATAAGGACCCAACGAAAAACATTCACTCTACCTTAAAGAACAAAAAAATATGCTCTCGAAAGTCCTTTTAAAATTAATTTTCAGCTTGTCGTGTTTTGTTGATAATCCACAACTTTCGAAAAAACTCATTCGAGGCCTAGAAATAATAATTAGTTCAATACATGCAGTTTATCCGCACGAAACATCTCTCTGCACGAAATGGTGTATTTTTTTTTTTTTTACTTTTTAGTTCGTCTGCGCTCGCTCTAGGGACGTTAATTCGCCCGTCTATAGGTACGACTATACCTAATAGGAAATAGGAAGAACGATTTACAAAAAAATATATTAACTAACTACGGCAAGTACGAATCTTGTGGCGGTTAATCCTGGATGTCGTGTCGACGGCGGAGGACGAAAGCGAGATAGTAGCCTTGAGATATTATGAGCGTGCGTTCCTACATATAATTTAAGTATGAAAAAAAAAATGCATATACTTATAACCTACACACGTCATCGGCAGCGGTACTGTGTTGTTTTGAGTCGGAAAGAAGAAAACGCGGTAAATTAATTGGTCAAAAACACGGCGAAGGCCTACATCCGAGTGAAAGTTTTGAGAAAAATTGTATTATTATTTTCGTTGTGCGTACCTCCTGCGCATATTACCATTAGACAGGCAGAGTGCACCAAAACTATTATTATTATTGTATGAGTTTTTGTCGCGTCGGGTGGCAATATCATCTTCGTTCGTATATATATATATATATATATATACAATTTATATATATCATCATAATATATTATATTTTGATCGGCACTTTGGTAGCGCTGTTATATGTGCGGTGTTCAATATGTGATCGATGACGCCAGAACAAATCAAAAGTATAAGACAATCGTCTGTGGTGTTCTAAACAAGGACAGTGTTAAAAAAAAATTTAGATCCGCGTGCTCGTCGTCCTCTCCTTTGGGCTGGGACCGCCAAAGAAAAATATGCAAACGCGTGTATGTGACTCTACCAACAAGAAATATAATAGGTAAATAGAGACTATATTATACTATACTACGCAATGTTGGCGGTACATCACGACTGCGTGGGCACGCGGATCGTTTTGCATGCCTATACTTATGGGTTTATTTTTTTTTTTTATTTCAATCCATTAGCATACATAGGTATTCGTTTCACCGGCCACATAGGCAAGAGACATACTAATAATATGCCAGTGCAGACTTTTACCCGACCAATATTGGACAAAAAAGCGTGGCGCCAGCGACAAACCGTATACACTTGATTTTTATCGTTTGTAAGCCGAGCTAAACCATCGTCGGTTAGACCAATTATTATTTACTACCAGTTCCGGTCCAAGATAATCTGCGACCCGGCGCTTGAATACCGCAAATAAAAAATAATAATAATAATTGAGGAGTGCCACTGCCGTCTTGACGGAGCATAGCAATCAATCGTTCCGTCAGATTTCCATACGCGGTCGGTCGATGCGATTGGCTTGGAAAAACTAATTCAGAATAAATCATTGGCAGTTTAGGTTTAGTTTTACCAAGCACGTAGATGTGCGCAAAAATGTTAAGTATGCAAGTACAAAAACCGTCTATTTAATCAATAGCAAAATAAAAAAATTGCGGTACTTTAAAAGTCATAATACATAACTTAATAATTAGAGAATTTAAATGGTTAAAATGTTAAATAAATACTCTTAGTCTTTAAATATACAGTGGTTGTTTATGTATAGTTTGCCGGCTAATATTTGTACGGATTGTGTACCAACGTTAATATCGTGTACCGTTATGAATATTCGTACATTTCTATTTAAATTTAAAAGCAATTTACAACCAAATTCACTTTCGAATATTTGTAGATAGTTTTAAGTTTCTTTTAATTTATGCACAATATATATTACGCATAATGTTTTATAAAGTGATGTAGTTTCATAAAATCAAGACAAAATCAACAAAATCTGCATTAATGTTAATAAGCAAATTGTCAAATGTCACGAGATCTAAACCGTTTCAGCCCAATTTGTTTTATATGCACACATAAGCGTGCACATTGGAAAGGATAAAATCGTTTGAAAACCGATCAAGCACACGATTAGATACAGGCAATATAATATTATCACAAGTACATACAACGCGGTACGTCAAATGTTGTGTCCAAGGTTCTAGGTAACTCTGCAATTACCCTATTATAGTGTCTACCGCTAGGAATTTGTCAGCTATCACCGAGTTCATCAAAAGAGTTGACGGATTAGAGTTAAGTGAAACTACCATGGTCTAGACGCACGGCAATTTGAGCAGATAAGACGGTTTTAGCTAAACTCTGAGAATGGGCATGGGATCCTTTAGCTGTTACAGGCTGTATGTATGCATATATTATCTACACTTGTTCAAAATCTAAGTAAATAATCGTCTGCCAGTATGGGACGGTCTTCTAGTCCAGTTCACACGCGAATTGCTGGGCGACATGAAACGTTTCATTCGGCAAAACGACCGGAAGAGCAAGTACATATTATTAATGCGTTTTAACGCACTATTGTTTGCTATAGGCCACGAGAGATTACCATATATATATGTTATTTTTGAAAAGGGAAAACTATTCTAGAAAACCAAATAAAATAATCCCATGACACATTTCACGTGGCTTTCTCGCGCAACAACCGAAAGGGACACTTTTGTTTTTCTACTCGCGCAAACCAGTAACCGTACTTGGTAACAGTCGAGGTATAAAATTAACCACGCTATTAATAACTGTACCACACTGTTTTATTCTAGTTGATATCATTATGTATTATTTCAAAAACGCCGAAATCCGGATTAGAGAAACGTCAAATCAGCCAAATTTCTCACGGTAAACGTTTAAATATTTATTCAATTGAAAAAAAAATGCAACATCAATGACCTAAAAAATTAACAAGAGGTAGTGTACAATTAACAAAATACATATATAATAATTAGTATATCTTCGTTGAAATCATAGTATTCTTATATATTTATTATTTTTTTAGTAGAAAGTTTTTATACATTAACATAGTTC